CGTTGTCCAGGGTGCACCACGAGGAGGTAAGTCTATCGCGAACCCCCATTAAGTGAATATAATGACCCTTAAATCGATTTCGTTCTCAATGCCTTGTTTGCATGAATTCACGACACAGAAGATACTTTACATTAAACGCTAGCAGTCGTTTTCTAAAAAGCCAGATTTTATTATTTGGGTGTACATTCTTGTAAAATGGTTAAGTTGAAAAATATTGGAGATATACCTCAGTAGTTGCTTCTAGTGTCCGAATATCATTTTGCATCAACAACTCCTCGAGTAGTGCATCAAAGAAAGCACACTTCTTTTAAGCACTTCAATCCACAGCCATTTAATTCTAAATACACAGTTACAGCTTTAGCCGGACTCAGTATCATAATGTATTTACGTGCTTTATTTCGCCCCAATTTCTACCTACCAAGTTTTCAGCTAACTCAAACAACTTACTCCTCCTATACCATTTTCTAACTAAGACATCTCCCATTAACGCAATATCCTTCCTTACGCAACACGAGAAGAACTCAAGTCCTATTCAGCAATAGAATACAATACTGCTTCTCTGCTTCCGAGACAGCACAATTTCAACGTAGAATAAGCACTTAAACAATTAGCTTTTTCAGCACAATCTGATTGATGTATATATATTATATAAATGCAGCATTTTTTTAAATTTATGTAAATGTTCATCTTCAATACAAGGAAAATCAAAAATGCATGATGTCTGAAATAAAATGTCGCCACCTATTTTGCAGGCCGTTCTTGAACAACTATTGCAGCGGAGGCGGAATTGTCCAAAATCGAAGAAATTGATAAGGGTTCAACAGATTCCAACTGAGACGATTCGGACTTCGTTTCTTTTCCATCACTGAGAATTGGTGTCATATCTACTGATTGTGGCATAACGGGGCGGCTTGATTCAGCCACAACGATGACATTAGGTGCTGGGGTCTCTAGTAACTGCCTATGCAGTCCATGAAGAGCCCCTAGAACTTTATTATCCTCACCATCCTCATTTAGTAGCTTAAACCTCATCGTAAATGCAAAGAAGTGCTTGGCTATGGTATTCAAATGAGCAACCAAGTCCAGCTGTTCTAAATGCACAACATGAGCCGAGTAAATATGGACGAGACAGAGAAGTAGCTTGCGGCAAATCTTTGAGGCCTCATCTCTAAGATCAGAGGGGGAAAACGCTTCACCTTGTTTCACCGGAAATATCCGAGCAGATTGAATTGCATCATTGCATTCGGAAAGTAGTAGACTGATCACTTGTCGAACGGGCTTTTTGCTCTGTGAGAGAAGGAATTCGACAGAAACAGGTCCATTAGATCCAGAGGATGATTTTGGGGAATGACTCCCTGTGGGTCGACAAAGACACATGTCATAAAGGGGGTCAAATATGCTACAAAGATTTTCAACCAAGCCAATCGTGTGAACTGCAATCCATTCATCCTCTTCCAGTGGGTGTTCTGGTTCAACAAGAAGAGGAAAATCGACGGGAATATTACCGGCCACCGATAAAGAGAGCTGTTGCTTGAGAAAAGAGGATTTCAAATAAGGAGGAGACGGGGGATTAGGATCAGGTGGAGATGAGACAGATTCAGGATTTGAAGGTGAAACGGGAATAGAGGTAGCGCTAGAAGATGAATTCGAGCCACTGATCAAGCCACGACCAACACCTCGAGCTTTGCCCATAAGCCATTCCATGGTGAATAATTATGAGGAATTATTATGATAATCGTATTGTTAATGCTTAAACAGCTAAAAATAAATACGTTGCGTAAAGAAACAAATGTCTTGAATAAAAAATACACTGCTGATAAAATTTAGATAATTTAACGTCAGGAGTTCATACTAAATATAAGTATGAAACATAAAAATATAAAGAAAAAACTAATAAAATGAAGCTGAAATGGTGTAAAAATCGAGGAAATAGCGTGGATTTGTTGCTTTAAATTTTGAGAACAAATGGAAGCACAAACCACCCAAATTATTTGAACTTTCAATGACGCTATACACTAATCAAAACAAATCACCCTTGATTTGTTAAATGACATTAGAATAATTTGGTCAATTTAAATAATTGAATTTGTATTAATAGCCACACTATTTAAAGCTTCACTCTCTTCTCAAAATATTACCAAGGGGACAGATAGATTGCTAATTTGAATTATTCTAAAATATTATGAACGATAAGTGAACATCAGAGGCAGTTTATGAATTCATTTTAAGTAGACAAAACGGTCTTTTCTTTTTCTTAAAATTTTTTTAAGGATTCTAGACTAATATATTGATATATTATTTTTTTATTTCTGGAGTTCCAAATAAAACCCTTAGCTTTTGCCTTGTCCAAACTCAAAAATTACTCAAATTTTAGCAGATTAGAAATGACGAGATTTAAAGATATGCTCGTATTTCGAGGGTAGTAAGCTCTAATGTTATCCAATAGTTCAAAAGCTCGAGTTTATTGTGGTTAGTTTTTTCCATCGGAATATTCCTTACTTTACTCCCCATTAAAAATTGTTAGAATTCCCAAATGTTAACTATCGATATAATTTGTCCTAAATACAATTACATCTTCATTCATTGATTAGATATTACTCATTTTATATAATTTGGCGATTCATTTTCTGTTATTTCGATAAAATTTATCATGAATTATTTGTCTCACAATAAATTTGATATCTAGTGAAATTGCAGTCAATCTTATATGCATTTTAATATGGCATATATAAGATATAGCAAGACTTCAGAGCACAATATGTCAGGATATGAATCTGCCATAGTCTTCCACTTCCTCCTTTGCAGATAGATCATCCTAATTCCTACGACATTTTTTTATTTCGTCAATAAATTGATCATATTTTTCACATAAAGTGCGGAGTACACGAAGATCGACTAGACAACTTAATAGAAATTTCACAGAAAAGGGTGTTTTATACTGACTACAAGTTCGCTATCCTAGTTACCGGATGGAAATGAAGCCAATTTATTTTTTACATTGAATTCTACAAATATGGCAATAATGTGAATATTGAGGAAAATGACGAATTTCATGTCTAAATATATATAGTCTTTTCAAGGAGAATTTTTAGTGAAATATATTTTCATACTATATAATGTTTCCACTTTGAGAAAGTTTGATGCTAATATCCACCTTAATTTAATTGCTTTTTGTTCTGATCCGCAAATTCCTTTAACTCCCAAAAGTCTGCAGTAAATTTGAAGAAACTTTAACACAACAATAATTCAGTAATTATCTATAAATAACGCTATCAATTTATTACCTTAACACTTTTGTCTATTTACATTGAATGACCCCTGTGTAACTTTATAGTGCATGAGAAGTTACTAACCTGCTCTTAGTTGAGGAAAGGTGCAATTAGACCCGAATGGTTCCACCAATCAAGGAATTAACTCAACTGATAAACACTTTTTGAAAGTTGTGGACATAATCTCTTCTATAAACTATTAAAATAAGCATTACTTCCTGAGACTTTGGAATGTTCACATAAAAAGATATATTTTAAAAACGCGGACAACTATGTACTTGACATAATACCTTCATGCCCTACTTCCTTTAGTTTTATATTTTTTCCCTAGTTGACTCGGCTCCGTTTTTACGTCTTATGCTTTTTACACTTAAAACTTGAAGCCATAACTTTGCTTTCACTACTTCTGTGTGAACATTTATTTCAAACTAGTCTAAGGTTGAGTTCTTAACTAATGTCTCCATTTTATTGCCTACCAGACTAACTTAATTTTCTAAATTAAATCTTCTTGATTCCTGAGAGGTCCTTGACAGATGATTACTCTTGTTAAGAGATGTAGTTGATCCTTATTTGGTCACATTCCTGAAAGTGGTGATGCCTAATGAACGATGCTTCCACCTCCGGGGAAGAAAAATTTTTGTGGAACACGTTGTCGCTGTGTGCGTCATCGTATGCCTGCATGTCTGCTCGCCAGGATTGGGAGGTGCGCCGTACAACTCTGTGTGCAGCGACCGTGCAAACAGTGACCAATCATCAACCTCTGTTTAACCTAATCACCCATCCTGATCATTAGTAGCTCCATGCGTGTACACTTGATCCGCAATATACATCCTGAATAAATGGGCTCCGTGATACACGTCTGTTTCCCTTATAGCTGGGCTATAGCTTAGCTATTGGGTGGGCAACTAAGTCATTGCCGTTTTTGTTGACAGATTCACTCTATACTTTCTTT